AGCAGGGGAGACTGTTGAGGCTTTTAGTCATATTTGCAGTGTTGTCAGTTACTTGCTTTTGTATTAAGTTTCAGGTTTAACAACTTGAAATGGGATACCTCAAAAACTTCCAATTAGTTTCTTAACCAGCTCTGACATGCCTACCATGAGATAAAACTTGAATGTACCCGTAGCTTTTTGTCTTGAAAAACAGAAAAGCAGAATTAATTTGTAATACATAACTACACAGCAAGATAGGTGACATTTTACTGGGTGTTGATCAAAAGGAAACCACCGTGTCAAACTAAACCTTCTTCCATGTGGATAACCAGTGCACTGATAGTGCCCTTCCTTCATAACTGTTAACCTTTTTTTTGTCTTTTTTTCTTTCTTTTTTTTTAATTTCATAATGATACAGACCCATGAATACCCTGACGCTCAAAGGCCAGTTTAGTTTTGCTGAAATTCACTCCTGGGTTGCGTTTTGCTTGCCTGAAGTGCCTGAAAAGACTCCTGCTGGAGAGAGTGTCACCTTTTATTTTCAGAACACCTTCCTGGGTACACAGCTTGAAAGTACATACAGGTAAAATACAAATACTGAAGTGCAATGTGACTATGCTGGGGCTTTTGTCTTTTTCATTCTTGACCAGTCTGCAAGTGTGTTTCACACCCATACTGCTGTTCATCTCTCCACCCACAGCCCCATCAAAACTCCCATTAAAGAGAACAGGAATCTTTCCTAAACAGGATTGTCAAACGTTACCAGGGTGAGCACTATCCAGTAATGACACAACCTATAATTTGAATAGGGGTTTTCTCGAAGTTGGTCCAAAAAACAAAATTGCCAGGGAGGAAAGCAATATGTTGTTAGGATGGTGGCTTGCTTTTCGAATTTAAAGAACCTAGTTACTAATGTAGTGAAATTATTTTGTAATACCTGTTGTTTTTTAACTTCCTTGTTTTTTGTACTGAGGAGCAGAAATAACTTAAAAGGCATATAATACTCATGCAAGCAAAGTTGTGAATAAGCATTATGCTGAAAACCTTCTTTTTCTGCAACTTCTATTAGGCAAATATTATTTCTGTGTTTAATACTCTATTCTCAAATCAATTAGTTACATCATTTGCTGAAGGAAGATACATGTCCACCTGAAAATGGAACTGTAAAAAGGGGAAAAAAATAATTGCTGTAATTATAGATTCCAACCTGCTCCCAGCCTACCATACGTATTGTCTACTCATCATGTAGAAAGCTGTTGGGTGGTGTATTCTGGGGGAGCAGCAGGAGAGTGTTTTTTCTCCCTTCTGGTATTGAAGCTTGCTGTTTGGCTTCAAGGTATTGCAGCGATAAAACTTAGGAGGAGTAAATACAGTAAGACATCTTGCTTGTGTAACATTAGTGCCGTACAATAAAGATAACTGCTTTGTGTGTACCTGAGATTTGTGTATACTGCTTGGTCTGATTTACTGGAACAAACTGTTGTCTGACAAGGTTACAGTGGGAATAGGGAAGGAGGGAATAGGATAAGTGTGTACACAGCCACCTGGTATATGGAGAATCATTAGGACCTCTAAAAAGGTTTGTCTTCCATTTGGGCATTAATTTACAGACCTTCTATTTTATCATAGGGACAAGTCTAATGCATGCATATGTGTTTAAGTTGGTTCATTTAAAGTTTTTCTTCCTTCACAGAAAAGGTGAGGGATGTTTTAAGTCTGACAACATTTCTACAATATCCATCCTAAAAGATGTGCTTTCCAAAGAGGCTACTAAAAGGAAGATTAATCTCAACATATCATATGGTAAAACTTTCTTCTCTATTTTTCTGTCCTTAATGTAATTTTATATTCTTATCAATAAGTAGCATTAATTTGCTTGTTGGGTTTTTCTTTTTACTCCCTACAGACATAAATGAAGAATCTGTGAGGCACACATTAAAGCTTATCCACCCTAAATTAGAGTATCAGCAGCTGTTGGCCAAGAAGGTGCACTTAATAGATGCTTTGAGAGTAAGTATCTGAACTCCCGTGGAAGGATTTTTATGGGGGATTATGTTGTCAGATGGCAAGCTGTACAGCTCAAGTCAGATGTGTGTCACACTGGTATCTGTTCAGTTTCTGCTCCTAGGGCATGTATTTTTATTATCTGGTCTGATGGTAGACTGGGGCATTTTAGAAGAGGCCTTTAAAACTATTTGCTGTCACAAATTGAGTGATACTTTCAGAGTTTACTTTTACCTTCAGACTTCAGCATGTGCTACGCTTTTTAGAATTGAACTTATTCTAAAAATGAAGACATGGTGAAGGGTTTGAGCCTTCATCAGATGTGATACTGCAAGGGCTGGACTGTGGCATGATCCTGTTGTGGCAGTACTTGGAGCTGGAAGCTGTAATACCCAGGATTTTGAGAATCTCATCTATGAAGTGACAAGTAACATCTGGCATTTCATTAGAAGATTAGAAAATGAAGCACATTGAAAATAACTCTTGCTAGTTTAGAAAGGGATTGTCTTGTCTCTGAAATACTTCCTCCTGTCAGACCCAAGCTTAATTTCTTCTTGCCTTTATGCTCTTCTGATACTTAACTGCTGTTAATTCACATGATTTAAAATGTCTTTGAGGAATTGCAAGTTCATGAAGGAAACACGGACTTCCTGCTACCAGAATACCGCAGCATTTTGGAAGAGGCAGAGCAGCTGCTTGAGGAATACAAGAGACAACCTGCGCATCTCGAGAGACTTTATGGTTTGTTGATCAATCCAACATTTTATTGAAATGCAGCTTAATGTTCAGAGAGCACACTGGGTGTGACTGAAATAGTTACAAAGTTGGTTATTAGCGGAGTTGGAATAATGGGATAAGTGGGTACGCTTGGGTGGCTTCAGGACAACAGTAGGTATGTAAGGATAAATGTCTGTCTGGTCGTACAGCCAAGGCTGCGCATTTACGCAGTGGTTTTGACCATGAAAACCTGTAGTTCGAGGTGAGGCAGTAAAACCTAGCACGTCCTCAAAATGGTTTGTATGCTACTACAGACTTTGAGTAACTCTCCAAAGTTTTTCCAGAATTGTTCACCTGAGAACTTTTAAAACTGATTTGGCATCACAGGCATATCACTGAGATTGAAAAGACCAGAATTACTTGCAAGTGACTTCTCTACTTTTTTGTTTAATAGACAGCTTTTTATATTCAGATGTGCCTTGTCTTTACAGACACAATTGAGGACCATATTCAAGTTCAGGATTACGTTTAAGAATGTATACAAGTTAAATGAGTGATTAAGTTCTGGGCAGTTAAATTTTTGAAAAACATCAGAAAAACAGAGAAATGCACCTGGGGTGGGAGGGAGGCTCGTAGAAGATGATCTAATTTGTGAAGGGAATTCTGTAGCCTCCTCTGGTGTTCCCCGTACAGCTCCAGCTCAGGGAACCTCCGCCAGACACCAGCTGCAAGAAGCCCATGTAGGTACAGTGTCAGCAGGGTCCTCGCTGCCCGACCTGTGACACCCCTCCCTCCTTAGTGTTGCAGATTTTTTTTTTGTAAGGCAAAAACACACACTTTGGAATGAAGCTGGAATCTGGGGGGTTATAATGGCATTTTGGGTTTGTTTAAAAGGGGAAATTATTGCTTAAAATATGAATTTAAAAAGAGTCTTATCTCAGTCTTGAATCAACTGGAATAGTTGGTGTATAATAATGAGTTTAAAGTAGAGATACCTCATCATGAAAACAAGGCAAATAATTCCCTGGATTTTACCTTTGCAGGTATGATCACAGATCTCTTCATAGATAAATTTAAATTCAAGGGCACCAATGTGAAAACCAAAGTTCCTCTTCTTCTGGAGATTCTGGATGGCTGTGATCAAGATGGACTAATTGCTTTTTTTGAGGCTGCAGCCTGACAAGGAGCTGTTTTTTGGTTTGGTTTTTTTTTTCCATTTTAAAATCAAGGCAGTTCAATATCAAGTCTGAAACACTATTTTTTAAAAGAAAAACACTTTTACTCTTTTGTTGTACTGTCCTCTCTTAGGTTTTACTCATATTTATTAAATCCTACTGAATAAATTAGTCAACTTCAGATAAGCTGTTGTGTGTGTGTGCACTGTGCGCGGAGTTTCCATGTGGACAGTGTTCTTCAGCACTGAAGCAAACTCAATTGGATGTAAATACCAAACCTCCTTTTTGAAAAAATGCATGTTCTCAGTGCTGTTGAAGAGCAGGTCGCAGTGGTCTGTTCTCCCCGTCAGGATGTATGAAGATAATGTTATGAAGAAACCAGACTCGGGAGAAATTCACCTCCTGAATGGCTGTGGCTTTTAGACTATAAAGGCAGCTGCTTTTCAAGCTACGCATTACAGGATCACAAAATCTTCATGGTTGGAAGGGACCTTTGACATCATCGAGTCCAACCACAAAAAAAAAAACCCCAAAAAAACCAAAAGGCAAAAAACAAACCACAGGCAGAGATAACCCAACAATCCCGGGCGCTAGAGCATGCCCCGAAGTGCCGTGTCCACATGTTTCTTAAATACCTCCAGGGATGGTGACTCCACCACCTCCCTGGGCAGGCTGTTCCAGTGCCTGACCACCCTCTCAGTACAGTAATTCTTCCTGATATCTAATCTAACCCCCCCCTGCCGCAACTTCAGGCCGTTTCCTCTGGGCCTGTCGTTATCCCCTTGGGAGATGCGGCCAACGCCCCCCCTCTCCACAGCCTCCTCTCAAGGAGTTGTAAAGGGCAATGAAGTCCCCCCTCAGGACCTCATTAATTCTTGGTTGGAGGGTGGGTGGCATTAAACCTGCTCCGCGCTCCTCCCGCCTCAGGGCCCTTCGTTTCCCAGCGCTCCCAGGACGGCTGGAACGGGCCATTCGGGGACTCCCGCCCGCTAGGCCCCGCCCCTTTCCCCTCACGCCCCGCCCCCTTTGGCCCCTGCCGCCGCCCGTAGCCCGCGTGACGCGCCGCGCCCTCCCATTGGCCGATTCCGCGGCGGGGCGGCCGGTCGGCGGGCCGCAGGCCTTCACCATCCATGTGGACGAGCCGGACGGGGAGCGGCGGCGGCGGCGGGGGGGGCCGGCCGCCCAGAAGGTGGAGGAGGATGAGGATGCAGCGGCGGAGCTGGGGCTGAAGGCGGCCGTCTGCGCCCTGGGGGAGCGGCGGCCCCTGGCCACCCTGGGCAACGCCATGGACCTGAGCTTCGGTAGGTGAGGCCCCTCCGGGGGTCCCCAACACCCCCTGCCCCGGAAGGGCAGCGCTGCCCCGGGCTCTGGGTGCGCTCCGCCGGGCCCGGCCCACCCCGTCCTGCTGCGCGGCCCTTTCCCCAGAAAGCGCGGGGTGAGCAGGGTTGTGCCGAGGAGTTAGCGAGGGAACGATTTCTAGAGCAAACTGGAGGAGGGCGGGAGATCCGGGAGCTGTTTGGGTTGCAGGGGGATCTGGTTCGGCTCGGAAGATGCCTTTCCTGTTGCCGAAACCGATTTGGTTCCTTTGAGCTTGCTGTTGTGATACAACAGGTTTTGAATCCAGCAGAGCTATCAATAACTTGAGTCTCTACTCTGCAGTCCTCTGCTCTCTGTAAGCTGCTTTATGCTTTTAATCTTAATAAGGCATAATGGTTTTAAAATAAAGGAGGGTAGATCTATATAGGTGTAAGGAAGACGTTTTTAACTCTGAAAGTGGCGAAACACCGCCACAGGTTGCCCAGAGAGGTGGTAGATGGCCCATCCCTGGAAACATTCAAGGTCAGGTTGAACAGGGCTCTGAGCCACCTGATCTAGTTGGAGGTGTCCCTGTTCATTGCAGGGGGTGTGGACTAGATCACCTCTTAAGGTCCCTTCCAACCCAGACTATTCTATGATCAGTACTTCACAAGAAAAACCAGATTACAGACAAGAAGAGCAGCCTTAGAGCCTCACCCTGCCCACTGCTATAGAGTAAGAAGGAGACTTTACTCAGGTGGAACCTGAGGCTTAATGTACTCTTCTCCCAGGTAATACCCTGTACTGGTGCAAGTGTTTTGAGCTCTTCCCAGTATGTAAGCAATGGGAGCTGTTGGATCCGTTTCCTGTAACACATGCATGAATATCTGAGGGCTGACTTCACCATGGCCCATCTTTGCACTCTCTAAAAAAGCTCTGGTGCTCCAGCCCTGTTTTATGCTGGAATAGCCAAGCTTAGTGTTCACATCTATGTAATAAGGTAACACAGGATGCACTGAGTCCTACATAATCCCATCCCTTTATTCTTAGGGGGGAAGAAGAGAATGGGGAATGGGAAGTTTCCCTGTTGCAGTAATGTGTTGGCTTCCCTAGATCCTCCTCAACTCCCATCTTGTTGAGTGATAGCCTGCCCTTTCTGCCTGCCCAGGAGGCAAGAGGCCCAGCAGCCCTGGAGAGCCACCATCGACATGCTACGAACAGGATAGTTCCTGTGCTGCAAGGGAGTGGTCTGACTGTGCCTGTTTTAACATGGCTATTATTTTCTTCTCAGATTCTCCAAGTATTATGGATATTTCAATAACCTCAGAAACAGAAGAGAAAAAACCAAATGTTAATAACGTGCCAGACTATATTAGTGATATCCATACGTACCTTAGGGAAATGGAGGTGAGCTGCTCTTTTCTTCTTTGCATATAGCTTATGGGCGAGAAATTTGGGTTTGAGAAATGCACCTATTAGTTACTACCACTGTGACTAAATTAAGTCTTGCTGGAAATAGAGAAATAAGATGCTGCTGTGAACACAAGACTGGTTTCTTGTGATAAAGTTGATTGTGCCATGCACTGAGCAGAAGCTGGAAAGCAAGATTATGGAAATACAGCTTACTGATTCTAGACTTACCATTGTTTACTTCTGATCTGTTTAAACTGTGGTAAACAGAGTTTAAACAGTTGCTTTCCTCCTGGCAGTTAGTCCAAACTCAATCTTATCTGTCCTCTAAACCTACAGGTGAAATGCAAGCCTAAAATGGGTTACATGAAGAAGCAACCTGATATCACAAACAGCATGCGGGCTATTCTTGTGGACTGGCTGGTGGAAGTTGGAGAAGAATACAAATTACAGAATGAAACCCTGCACTTAGCTGTGAATTACATTGATAGGTTTCTTTCTTCAATGTCTGTTTTGAGAGGAAAACTGCAGCTTGTGGGTACTGCAGCTATGCTGCTTGCATCGTAAGTGAAATGGCTTAATTTAGAATTCTATCTGCTGGTCTCATACAGATGGAAATCTTGCAGCTATCACGCTTCTGTTGCCTATAGCCAGGCTGGCTCAGGAGGGCTTCACACTGGAAGAAAAACCAGGCATTATCCACCTGAAAGCTTGGCAGTTTGTATGGAACTCCTCAAGCAAGGTTCTAGGCTGGCTTTATAGCTTGCCCTAGTGTGAGGATTCATTATTTCTAGCTGCAGCAGAAGCAGGCTTATAAACAGTATGTAAGAGAATATGCACAAGGCATGTGAAAATAAAGTTTTGCTTGTGCCAATTATTAGTTTAGGGACTTGTTCTGGTATTTCAGTGCCTCTGAGTCCCAAATTGTTTAGTGCTAAAATATCAGCCTATGGTAGCTCTGTAATTTCAAATTCTGCTGATTCAAGAGCTACGGAACCAAGTGCAGCAAACTTATTTGGTAACAGTGCTCAGCTACTTCACAAGTCAGATTTTAAATTTGCATGCTGGCTTTCATTAAATGTTGCTGGTTGTCTGGTTTTCTAGTACTCAATTATTTGCTCACATCTTTCTCCTGGCAGAAAGTTTGAAGAGATCTACCCTCCTGAAGTAGCAGAGTTTGTCTACATCACAGATGACACCTATACCAAGAAGCAGGTTCTGAGGATGGAGCACTTAATTTTGAAGGTTTTGTCATTTGACTTGGCAGCTCCAACGATCAACCAGTTCCTCACTCAGTATTTCCTCCATGAGCAGACAAATGCTAAAGTGGAGAGCCTGTCAATGGTAAGTAAGAATTACTGGCTTGGCCTGTGTAACGAGAGAGTTCTGTTACTATTAATGCACTTTACAAGCTCCGTTTCTGAGTCCCGGTAGAAAAGAAACGAAATGGTAAATGATTCTTCAGTCCAGGCTTCCCTGATTCCAGCTATTTTTAGATGTGTGTCTTGGGGAGAGTTCTGGAGAGTGTGCGCGCTGTGCTGTGTACTCCTCCAGAAGTGGTGCTACACCCCTGGAAACTAACACTCCTGTTGCCACTCACCGTTTGAGACACTCCGTTCCGATCTCAGGCAGGCATTTGGTTGGGCTCAAGCATGCACACTTACTCAGTGGGCAGAGATTAATGAACTTTAATAACAATGGTAGATAATAAAAGAGAAAGTAAGTGGAAACTAGTAAAAGCTGTTCCTCCAACTGATGGCAGGATTGGAAGCTTAAATTACGGTCCTAGTGCAACTGCTAAATGCTCTTCTACTTCCTTGGGGAAGGAGATGATTCCCTTTCTCGTTTCCCTTGCAGTACCTCGGGGAGCTGAGTCTAATTGATGCTGATCCTTACCTGAAATACTTGCCATCAGTCATTGCTGCTGCAGCATTTCATCTAGCAGGCTATACCATCACTGGACAAACTTGGGTACGTAGCGCTAAAATTGAGCCTTCATGGAGCTTTATGCATCTTTAGTGTTGTTCATATGCGGTTCTGAATTCTGGGGCCAGGACTGTAGGAATCTGCAGCCCCTCTGCACCTCCAGGCTGTTAATTTCAGATTGTTGCCTGTGGTATTTGGAAAATGGGGACACACACACACATGTTTTCTCAGTATCTACTGATACACTCTGTTCTGGTGATCCTCCTCAAAGCTGTAAGCAGCTTCCTTCTGATGAAGGATGGGGTGGTAAGAAAGCCTAAGTGCTGGAGGCAAGGAAGACTTGCTTAGAATACGATAATTATCAGGATTATTGTAAATCTACATAAACTGCTTAAACCTGAGCAGTGAGCATTAAAATACTTTGTGCTTTAGAAAATAGCGCTCTGCTAATCTATTAGAACAACAGAGTTTCAACAGGAAGCTAAAAACTCCACCAGTGGCCATCAGCGTAAGTGAGCAGAAAATTTCAAATAGTCCCTCTTCCTTTCCTTTTTCCCCTCAGCCTGAATCCCTGTGCAAAGTAACAGGCTACACCCTTGAAGACATCAAGCCTTGCCTCCTGGACCTACACAAGACCTACCTCAAAGCAGCACAGCACACACAACAGTCCATAAGGGAAAAGTACAAGAGTACAAAGTGAGTATCTGCGGAGACGTACGATAAGCTGGTGTGTTGTCCATGTAACTGCTGAGCAGGGGGAGGGGGGTTGATGCATCCTGAATCTTCAGTCAGACTCAACTAACCAAATCTACCACCGATGCAAAATAGCGACAAGGCTCCCCAGGTTTTTGCACAACGGTTTGTTGAGCAGTACTTTGTGTTCACCAGCAGGTGAGGAACTTTCTTGATGTTCCTACAGTTGGTAGGCAGGAGATGGTACCTAATGCTCCTAAAAAATAACCTGGGTTGGCATGGCAGCCAACAAGCCCCCAGATGTTTCCTGCCTTGTGAGTGATGTTCCTTGCTGCAGTACGTACGCTGTTCTTTATGGCAGAGGGCACTTTGAGCAAGATGACATCCTGCATCTTTTTTTTTCCCCCCTGTCTAGGTACCATGGAGTATCGCTTATTGACCCGCCAGAGACACTAAACTTATTGTAATAATCAAGAGACTGATCTTTTTTTTTTTAAAAAAAGATGTATATTACAGGAAAATGATGTACAGTTTTGAAACATGGTTCAAAATTCTAGATGGGATCACTCAGAATATTAATGCAGGTTTTAACGAGCTTAATTATGAATTTAGTTTTATTTGGTTTTACTGTAAATCTTTTGTACATGCTCGACTGTTTAGCTGGGGTTTTATAAAAATGTTGTCTTCAAGCACGGAATTAACCAGGCAGACCAAGCGCAGTCCGAGACTGCTGATCTAATAATAGACTAAACATGAACATTAGCAGTGCATTATAACAGTAGGGCTGCTTCTCCTTCCAAGTAAGAACAACTTGAACTCCACAGCAGTATTTGTAGCATTTTTATACTGTGTAGTTTAAGCTGAGATTTAATATAGGTCCAAATTGTGGCTTAATGGCTGGAATACTGGAACAAACTACATAGCGCTGGGGAGAAGGCCTTGCTGGAATTGGCTCTCGTGAAGCTCTTTAGGATGAGCCACTTACTGGAAGCCTTGATTGCTGTCTCACATACTGTCAGGTCTCCCATCAGGTTAAAGGCTGAACTCCAGGGCAAAATCCAGAACACCAGTTCAGACTTCTCTCTTCCAGTATGTAGAAAATGGTCTTGCTATAGGTATTTTCTAGTCAAAGTGTAAAACATACTGATTTTTAAAACTGTGGAGTTCTTAACTGATGTGTTAGCTGTCCCAAAAGCCCATTGATACCCACTGAAAAAGATGATAGTCATCAGTCTGCTCACCTCGTGCCTCTTCAGGGGCGGTGGAGGGAATAAACTGCAGGAGGCTGAACTACTGCTCTGTGCCCTCAAGAAGAGGGAATGTCTCCTGGGGTAGATGTGCTACACGCAGAGTTCTGTACATCCCTCTTGCTTGGAAAGGGTTCCTCTGCGGCATGCAGCAACAATGTAGACCAAGTGGTCTTCTTTTTCCTTACTTCTGGAACTGTTACATGAGCAAACTAGCACATAAATGTCCACTTGTTCTAACGCCGATTACCTTCAAACCCGTGTAAATGGAGCGATGCTGCCCTGTACCTGCTGTTCTTTGCATGTCAACCAGTAAGTGCATGGAAGTGGATTTAATTAAGCCATTTCCAGTTTGGCTAATAAACAGTTTTTTACATCTGATGCTGGTGGTCTTGCCAATACCTTAAAACCACTGAGGAGCAGTTCTGGCCATCTTCAACTGGCATTTGTTTCTAAAGCTCTTTGGCAAGGGTGAAACCTGCACCACCTTAACTTGAAGCTGACTCAACGCTGCCCATCTGGGTGGCTGGACAGCTGGCAGGTAGCAGCATCAATTCCTCACAGATGTCAAACAGCTGCTATGGTGTGGGCTATTTAAAATACATTTAAAAAAAAAAATCATCAGCCCTCTGTCGAGCTGACAAACAGGTGTTAAGGTGAGATTACTCACGTGTCTCAACTCAGTAATTAAAATCTTGGGTGTTCTACCCCCACCCCTGCTCTGTAGCCTGAGCCTTCCACAAAACACCTCAGTTACAAACCCTCGAGTCAAAACTAAGGAATGCAACTACTTGGCTGCCTTTTTTGGCCAACCTGAGCTTTTTAGGATGCACTTTGACTTTTCTGTGTGTTCTAATTTTTAACAAAGAACCATATTTCATTGGTCTACTGTGTTCTCCAACAGCCTTTATTTGGCTTTTCAGTAGGTTGCCACTGAAAAGCTGAAACTAGTTGGTGAAAAACCCCAGTGTATCATGTTTGGTGCGTAGCATTAGGAATGCAGGAGAGGAGCTTGTAGGTAATGCTTGTAGGGAACACCTTTGCCACAGCTGTGACATCGGGTTGTGACCTCGGAAGGGCAATTATTCTTTGAAGACTATAGAGCACAGCGCTCCTCCTGACAAACTGGGTTCTGCCTTCCCCTTCTTTAATGGTGGGTGCTGGAAACTTTCCAAGACTGCTGAGAACTATGAAGTAATGTAAAGGTTTGGATGATTGCAATTATGGATTATTTTCCCCAGAATAAAGTAAGCAGCAGTTCTTAAGTGAAAGGATGACAGTGGTTTATAGAAATAGTTTACTGCTTAATGAGATGTCTCCTTGCTCTGTTTTCAACGGAAGTTGTTTGTTACTGTTCCCATAGCAGAGAAACATTCTCCCCTGCTCCCTGAGCTTTGCTTTCAACATACCAATACAACTTCCTCTGCAGCCTAAAAAAATGCTTCAGTCCTGGGCTGGCAGCTCTGCCCAGTTATGATCCATGTTCCTCCTTCCTCAGCAACAGCTCTTGCTGCTGCCAGTACTGTCTTGTTCCATCTTCTCACTTTCCAGTCGGTATGGGATGATTCCAGTTCTTGCTACTAAGCTTTGAACAAAATATCCCACATTATGCTGTACTACTGTTTTGCCTTCCCAGTTTACACTTACAGCCTTTAAAAATAAAGCCTCCGAGGAATCTGGGGTATGAGGTGTTATGTGTGATGAGAGACACAGCACTACAAATACCGGTCTTTTTCCTGAAGAGGTTTAAGGTCTCCTGGTACTGCAGAACTTAGAAGAAACTGGATCTTCACCTATTCTCGTGTTCCCAACAGTGACTCTGGGCTGGAAGGACTGACACTGAGAAAACACACTGGGTGAAGGGGGCTTTGACAACTTGATTAAGGCTTTCTGTGGCTGGGAGCAGTTTATCTTTTTTTTTTTTTAACATTAAATTCTAAACCCGATTTGGGGAATGCAGTATCTGCAACAGTAACTTCTCTCCTGTTCATATCTCATGAATACTAAGGTCACATGTAAAATAGTCCTGTTTTGCTCTTGTATATATGTGCACGTTTCTGGTTTGACTTGGTTTTTGAACAGAACAGCTGGATCAGGTATTTTGGAAACCTCATCTCTTTGCTTTGCCCGACTCTAAATCCCGAGCATCATTCTTCAAATACACTTCAAGAAACATTCCTGTCTGTTGCATGTAATATTTAATTAAACTTTTTAAGAAACTCTATTGCTGAAGTATGAGTTGCTTCTCTATGAAAGTTTTGCAGTAGTTCTATGCTGTTTTGTTAAATATATGCATTTCTGTTGGTTCTTACACAAAGCGGTTTCAGTGACAGGGGCAAGAAATTTCAAGTCACAGCACACACCATTTTCCCCTGCGAAAAACATTCCGGTGTGTGACAGGAAGGTCTGGCAATAGCTACCTTCATTAACAGAAGCTTTCCCTGGCATTAAATTGGGTCTGACCTTTTACCACCTGAGCTCTGACTGCACAGCTCCCTTCAATAATGGCAGAGGCTGTTAAAACTGCATCTTACCGCCGCAATTCAAGTTGCAGAACTTGAGTCAAGTTTAACTAGTGAGTTTGCTGCTGCAGCTGGATATAAACCACAGAATTTCACTTACATGCAAAATTTTTTTTTATTTAAAGCTGTGTACAATATTTTTATAAAATATACATAAAAGCAGGACCAGAGATGGGGTGGGAGGAAATAAAATTATCTACAAAAATAAGTTCAGTAACAATGAACCCAATTATACAGCATTTCTGAAGGAGGGATGACGGCTTTAATAAGCAGCTCTCTTCTTTTTTCTCCTTTTGTTAAACGCTTTCTTACTTGCATTTTCTTGCTTCGTATTGGTCTGTGCTCTGCAAGCAAACAACATTTGAATCAAAGAAATGTACTGAGCAGTTTTATTTCAAAAGAACACAGGCTGCTCATCATCCATAGCCTGGCAACCATCCACCACCCTCAGTGCAAAGTTCAAACATAGCACGTAGAAAGTGTCCTACACCCACCAATGCGGGTGGCCATGGTTAGTGTAGGGATGCAGCAATACATCTCACTGACTGGAGATCAAATGTAAGATGCTGCAGGGCAGCATGTAGAATCTCTGCAGCATCTTCAAGGAGGAGTTGATTCAAATACATTAATTTGCTATCCCTTTGGAGCGATTAAGATTAGTCAAGTATCTACCCATTTCAGACAGCTGCAGGTGAGCCAGGACCGGCCTCCTAGGACAGGAACAAACTGGTCTAGGTGTCAACTTCCTCACTCTCAGCTATCTCTGTAGTCCCCTTGATCAACTGAGGCCTTTCTTGGCCTTACCAAAATCCTGTGCTTCCTGAAAATACACCTAGTTTCACACGACAGTTACCTTGTTTTCCTCGGTAGTTCCTGTGGTTCCAGAATGACAACTTCTTCCTCTTCACTGTCAGACACTACAATAGGTTCATCTGAAAAAAACAAACCAACCAACCCACAAACTGGTGATCAGTTTTGTACAAACAACTTCTGCAACTAACAACTGCAGCATTTTTAAAGAAAGATTCAGGGTGGCCAGCATTTAACTTCGAGCCGTCCATCTACACAGAAATCAAGTTATCTTTTGAAGAAAAGACAAGATACCAGGTGAAGTGAAAGTAGCAAATGGGTGCAAGTCCCAAGCGGAAAGTGGCTACAATGGTTCCCCTTCCTTGCCAAGGACTTTTTTCACATTTGAATTCTGGACTGTTTAACAAAGTGGTATAACAAGTGTCTCTGCTATCAAGATAAATCCTTACCCTTCTTAGTTTCCAACATTGTACTTGTATCCTCAGTTTCCATTTTCTGACATTCAAAAGCAGTAGCTTCACTTTCACCTTCCTCTTCTGCTGCTTCCTCCCTGTCAGATTCTTCCAGGTCTCCCCAGGAGTTCTCTATTCCTTCCCCAATTTGGGCTGTCCCAGGAGTGTGCAATATTGGTGTGGTAGAACTGAAGTAGTTAAGGAAAATCTTGATTTGCCAGTAAACTCTTTGTATTCTGAGAGCAAACCAGCTGGGTTTGAAGCTGTCTCTCTTCTCCCGAGGGGAGAACATCCTTAAAGGGGAGTTGAGAGAAAGTACTACTTCTCCAGTTACTGTAACAGTCACTGCAGACCTCAGTTTTGCACTTTACGCTAGGAATTAAGTTACCTAAAAGCAGTCAGAACCAAAAATGGTATGACGCTGATGTTTCCTCTGAAGGCTGTCAGGCTACCTAAGCTGTGAGGAACCTTGGATGTGTGTTTAGCTCCTAGTGCAGGGGGTGGGAAGCCTGATTTTCCCCTAAATAATACAACAGAAAAGATACACTTCTGAAGGAGGGTCAGCTTTTGTGATGATCTCTTCAGCTTGTTCTTCCACATTGTTAGTATCAACAGCAGCACTTTCCATTTTGAAGGCAGTGATCTTTTGATTCGGTATAGATTCTGCGAAGCCAAACTTCCCACCTTCTTTCCTAGTCATTCAGTGACAGACATTATTTCAGGATGTTTCACACTTAAAAATGCTTTCTCTTTTCAAGTTCAAATATATAAGTGCTTGCTATTTAAAACAAACACTAGTGAAAACAATTTGCTGTTCAGACTACAGGTTGACATTACATTTTAGTATGTTTCTTAAAAATACCTATTTCCCTTCTTTTCCAAAACACTCACCGAGCTTTCTGGTCGTTCTCCAAGGCTTTTTGAATTAGTTCTGTTATTTCTGCAACCTTAACAGCTGTTATTTTACTGCATCTCAGAACCTGTTATACATACAGCAACACTTTACAATCATGAAAGCACGATGTTTTTAACTGTAAAACATCACAGGAGTCACAAACACTTAATAAAATATGGCACCTTAGTATTAGTAGTTAGTGCTGGATACACTACGAGTTGATGCCACAGGTTCAGTAGCCTCTAGCTACTCATGGCAGTGCAGTCTGAATTAATTTACAGACTCCCTCAGCCAAATCTCAGGGGAAAAAAACAAAAAACAAGTTTTGTATCTGACCAAACAATGTTCTTTTTCTACATCTCTTCTACAGCGTGCTGCACAGTATCATCCGCTTCCACTAGGACTAAAAATACATAATCTTTTCCAATTATATCAGACAGATAATTGATTTCTTAGCTTCCAAATGTCAAGGGTATTTCGCTATCAAGATTCCAGCACGGGAACTAGTTTACATACAACAGAGAGACTGGTCAAAGCAAAGATTTACCTGATCCTTTACCAGCATAATCCCTCCGCTGGACTGCATGGTACAAATTTCACGATGTTTATTCATGGCAATTACAAGGACGCCATCCATTACACGTTCCTCACGCTCACTTGGATCCACCAATAAATAGGTCCTAGATTCAAGTTTAAAAGCAACAGTAAAAAATTGTGGCAAGTTACTACCCTTAAAAAGAAATTTAAAATTAATTTGTTTATGTATTAATAATTATGGGTATACCCTCCTCCCAAAAGTTTTCTATGCCATCTGTGGAAAGCTACTGGTTAGTTACACTGTGCAGAACACAAGTATCTCCCCATGGCATCCCACTTCAGATAAAATGTCTTAAGAAATTGGCTTGCCAATATAAATACTTTTTGGACTCTTTTATGTTTAAAATCAACTCTGCAGAATTGAGAATAAGCTGCTCCTCTCAAAAGACTTAAAAATCTTACCCTTGCTGGAAGAAGGCAAAACTGACGCAAATAGGCATGTGGTGGATGCTCAAGGGGACAGGATTGCGCTCCTCAGGAGTATACTGTGAGAAGAATTGGCCCAGAAGACAATTATTTATGAAACACATTTAATTTTAAAATGAGGTACTGTACAAAGATATTTAAAGAAATACAAAAAGAAAAAAGCTAACAAACGTTTAGTTATCTAAACATTAAAAAAATTCTTTTTAACTCTTCTTGTGCAGTTCTTACTGTTTACTACCTACGTAGGTAAATACAGTGCATTCATCAGCCTTATACTTGATTTGATTGAAATACTGTAAAATACTTTTACAATTCGTCATTGTAGAAATGTAACAGTAATCTTTTACAATCAGTATTACCATGAACTGAGGTTGATAAAATTCCGAATTCAGCAGGCTTCCCTACTATCCTTTCACATTTCAAAGCCCTACAACATAGGTATCTCAGAGTTTAGCTGCTTACACAAACACCTTTTAGACAGAAGGAAATAGCTACCTGCGATGCCACAACATTTATCTGGTACAACTTACCACAGTTACTTCCTCTCCTTGCACAGACACATCTGGTCTGCGAAAATGACAGAGGGCTACAATTCCTGCTATGCTGGCAGCATCAATAATGTTCCCGTCGTGATTTAACAGGTGCAGGTCCAGACGGATTTGCCAAACCTGAGAAAAAACATACGGAACTGCTTGGTAATTTGTGACACAATTCTACGGAAGTTACTGTTTTTCAAAACAACTTCATTTTTTGAACCCTAAAAAGAACCACCATTTATTCTTCAGGGCTTTGCTTAGGGAGATGAAAGATCCCGGTCTATTTCAGGACTCTCAGTGTGCTAGATTTAATTGTCACAAAATACATAACACTTAAGTACAATTCAAACTTTATTCTGCAAAGAAATATTCAATTGTGCAGGATCCCAACGACTTCAGAAAGCCTATGTATACTTTTAAGGTAAAAACACCTGTAAAGTCACATGCGTGGATCTTTACATTAACCTAAAATCAGAATTTCTAGTTTCCAAAACAAAACAGAGACCACGTTAAAACCACTTGAAATTAGTAGGTTTTCATACCTTTTCACCAGCAATAACGCAGAGAGATTCAGTATCTATACACTTGGAATTTCTCAGGCATCGTTCTATTAGTCTGTTCAGTCTCACCAGTAAATCTGTCTGTCTGTCAAAACAAAGTTAACCCCAATTGAATATGATTCGCGCTTTATGCTCACACAACAGTGGCTCCTCTCATCATCCTTGCTTAGTCTTTTTAAGAAAGCTACATACCTGCCAGGCTCAAAACCAGGCGCAGCCATTGGTGAGAGCTCAAGATTGAAGAAAAGTATACCTTCTGTAGGCCGATTTGGCTTGGGGGGAACAAGTTCACATGAGACTTGTGCAAGAACCCTGCAAAGGTAAATAAACCACTAATTCACTGAGTTTAACAAGAAAAAAAACTCCTACCACTACAAACAAAATACGTATTTTGAAAAGTATGGAGCGGGTCCAGAGAAGGGCAAC